CAGCTACTATATGGAGTGCCCTCCAGGGGGAGGGACGTACCAGGGCCTGGGAAGGAACGCGCGGCACTGGTCAGAAAGGGGGAGGGGGGGCCATCATTTTTTTTTGCGGCGCCCACCCCGACCAGGCGGTAGAGGCGGCGCCCGACAGGCCCCCCCCCCCCACATTAAATCGGTTCAAGTGGCTTCCCCGTGCGCGGGTGGAATCCACGAGACGCGTGCTTAATCTTGGTCGCCTGGGAACTCCGAGTTGACGGGTGCAGGGAACGACCAAGACAGCGCTTCTCAAGCCCACGGAACAGACCTCCTGGGAGGATGACGTGGGGTGAACACAACGAACAAAAGGCCACGCGGCCCGCCTGCTTCATCTGGTGGCCCAGGGGCACAAACCGAGCGGCGAGGGTTTCAGTCGGCGGCGCCTGGGCCAGGTCAGAAACGGACCCCAGGGACCGAGCAGCAGCCTCTAGCGCAGCAGGCGCCGAAGAAAAAAAAACACCCCCTCCTCATCTCGCGTCGCGAACACCGCCTGCGCCTGCCACGCCTGGAACGCGCTAGGCCCACAGTGGCGGCGGCTGCCAGAACGGAGCTGGGCGAGGGAGGAGGGGGTCTTGGCATGCAGATTGCATCTCTTGCACCGCCACTCCCCAGAGGACGGGAAGTGGTACAGATCGTGCTCGAGCAGCGCCAGCCCGCTCTCTCCTTCACGCTCTCGCGCACGCCGCAGCACGGGAGTCGGGGCCGAGAGCTCCTGGGCGCACGCGCCAATACTCTGAGCAAATCTGGACAGAACATCGAAAGTCTGCCGTGTCTGTGTGACCACGGCACTCTGGACCTTCTCAAGCGTCATAGCAGCCGCGTGGGAGTCCGCTCCGATACGCGCAAAAAAAGTCGGCCCACGCGTTCCCTAAAAAAAATTGCACCTCGACCTCGGACCCGGCGCGACCACAACATCCCAATCGCGGTGAGCGGGTGACCATTCGAACGACGGCCTGGGGCCAGGGCGGTCATACAACTGAAAGATCTGCCTCCAGACAGCGGCGTGACGCCCTCCGCTGGCCGCCAGGCCAGGGTCCCACGACTGCCCCTCCAAGACTGCGCTCAGGTGGTCTGACACCACATGCACATTCAGGGGGCAGACTCTAAGCGCCTGGAAAACCGCAAACCTCTCGGCCCGAGGCGCCGTCTGGGCGCCGCCAGGCAACCTCCCGAAGCGGGCCCAAATCGGGAGCCCACGCGGGCCCAGCTCGACCACGGCCCATCCACACCGCCTAAGTTCGGGACTGCTGCTGCACAGCCCCGAACCGTCGGTATAGACACGCCGCCCCCATGGCGCTTCGGTCTCACCCCACGTGCACACAGGGAGCTTGTCAGGGACGGGGTCACGAGTGACGGGGTCAGGCGGGAGGCCATGCAAAACCTCGAGAATCCCAGACCTGCATTCCCGCCTCGAACCGACCCGTGTCCCTGAGCTCAGACCTGCGCAAAAGAATATCATCGGGGAAACAGTTGCTTTGGGGCGCTGGATGATTCAACACAGCGTCGCAGTCATATATCTGATGACCAAGAGAGCCTACATCATTCTTGCCACACAACTTACACATGCTGCTGTCGCTCAGGCCAGCCCCATACTTTCTCTCTTGCGACCATACAGCGTTGCCTATCAAGCAGCGGAGAGCTGCGCGACGGGCATTGTCACGAATCTTGAGGACTGCTATTCGCACTCCTCGGGGCCACAGACGCTCGGACCCAGCCTGGGGGAGGTGGGGCAACATCATCCTAGCTTGCCACCTCTGGATCCCCGACCGCAACTGTGCCTTCACATCGAGCGGCGCGGTTCGCAACAAATCAATATGAAAACCTTGGTCGTCCACCAGCACATGCGCAGCAGACATCAACCAGCCGACACGGTGTAGACTGAGAAGCACCGCACTAATTGGGCCGCGGCATGACTTCCACGTCGGCCGCTCGAGGATTCGACTCTTGACGGCCATCCACGCTTTCTGGGGTCGGCCTAGCGAGAACCTTGAGTCCCAAATTACAGCTGCATCGCGTTGGACCAACGGCACCGTCGCGTCGAATATGGGGTCGTAAAAGGGGTCGGGCTGAGTTGCAAGCCAAGCCGTCAAGGACCCAGACCGCTTCGCGCCCACCGAGGTTCCCGCCATGGTTCGAAGGGTCCCGAGGGTCGGGTCCGTGAGCCCAGAGACCCCAGCCCCGTGCGACCCAGCGGGCATGAGCCCAGTGCGCCACAACAGACCCACCTTGCTGGACGCAGCACGACGGAGGGATGCCAACTTGTCCCGACGCCGCAGCTCCTTCTTGAGACGTAGCTGCTCTTGGGCCCTCACAGGCCTTCAAGAAAAAAAAAAAAAGCAAAAACAACCTCATGGCCAAGGTTTCGCATGTGGGCGTGGCTGCGGAGCTTCACCAGACGAGCAGACGACGACAAGTTCGACGACACTCTCACCGCCGTAGCCACATACCCACTCTTGGCCGCCTGGAGGATTAAACCTAGCTTGAGGACCTGGCTGGAATACCATCTAACCGCGGCGAGTCGAATCTCACTAAACTTAAACAGCTTACCAACCCACTGAAAGCTGGAATCGTCCATGAGGACCCTGGGCCAGACCGTAGGGTATAGGGCCCTCATCTTAACGATCACACGGTGGAGGGGCACATGCATCATAGTGTTGGCGTGGCTACATCCAGCAAGGATTTCTTGATTGGTCACGACCTGCCGCGACACCGAACCGAACGCCTGAATCACCCCAGGACGCCGATAGGATGCAAGGACCATCCACATCATCCGAGGCGGGTATCCAACCTGCCTGGCTTCGGCAAACAGTCGCTCCACGATTACAGGTTCATAACATTTCAACATGTCCAAGAACACGCTCACAGAGTACTCCCCAACCGCCGTAGCAGCCTCCGCCTCCATATTATGGTCAAAGGCGGCGTCGGACGCACTAGCCCCTGGCCCTTGGCCCCAAAAGGAAGGGCCACGGTTCGCCTTCTCCCAGGCCTGGGAGACAAGTTTTCTCACCCGCCCCCAGAGGCGGAGCATGGAGTTCAAAAGCGCAATCAACCGATGCCCCCCCCCGTGGGTTTGGGCAAACGGACCGAGCGGGTTTGAATCCGAGACTCGGGCCACGCAAGAAGCCTCTCGCAGGCCTTGAAAAGATCAGCAACAGTTTGCAAGCACTGGTCAGAGACGGCAAGCATGGGCCTGGGGTTCAGCCCAAGCTGGCCCACGGCTGTCTTATTAGGGAACGAGGCACACGCCCTACGCAGGTCGGCAACCGAGATCTCAGGCAGAGCCTCCCAGGCATGGTGATCTCCAGGAAGGCCCACTCGAGCGCACCTGTGCATCTCCCAGATCGCCTCCCACTCCGCGAGGCAGTCGTCCGCCTGCTGGAAAGGCTGTGGCCGCGACGTCTCAGCAATCAGCTCCTGCACCTCGCGGACGCGGGAGAACTTGCGAGCAACGCCCGCACCCTTGGCAAAAGGCCTGCTCGACCCACTTCTTCCATTCAGCACGTGCAGCGTGGCCAAACTCAAGCAGCTTAGCCTCGATCTCATCAAGGAAACCCTGTGCGGCGTCGTCAAACTCAACCCTGCAGAAGCTGGAGGGCACGTCCACAAGAAACTCCCTGATTGACTCCGTCGACACCTCCAGCACCCGGGACGACTTGCGGATGCGCTTCAGAAACCCCTGAAGGAAGTAGAACTGCTTGGCTACCTGGTCAAATCTCTCGTCCGTGGGGTCAGAGGCATACTCGGAGGCAAGCTGACACAACTTGGTACGAACCGAGCGCAATTGTCGCAGCCAGCGACCCACAGCTCGCCACGCAAGCTCCGCCTTCGGCTGAAGGTCAGCTTGTCTCGGCAACGGCTTCCGCGAATACGAAGGTGGGCCAGCACGCCCACAAAACTTCCGTCGCTCCGAGGCCTTCACGATGTCGTTGCGATCACAGAGCTCGGCCTCAATGCCTGAGATAACTGCGCCCCAACAAGAAGCCAAATCATCTTCAGAAACAGCGTGGCTTATGAAACTCTGGATCTGGGCCCGCTCGTCGACGGGAGGGAACCTCGCACGCCCAATCTTCGGCGCGACGTGAAGCTTCTGTGGCTCATCAGGAACGCGGCGACACATACTTCTCTCCACCGGGCCTAGCTCAAGAAGAACAGGTTTGTGCGGGAAGAGATCGGTCCCTTCCTCGACGGCCAGCTCGCCCACTGCATGGGCCAGGGACAGCGATGCGAAGAAGTCGCGCACCGTGCCAGGGAGCGACTGCACACACGTCGGCGCCTGCGGCGCCACACGGATTGCTCCTGCAGCGTGGAACCAGTCGTCCAACAGGTCGCCCTCCGTGTTCCCTGGCATAGTCGATGGCCGTCTGCACAATCTCCAGGTTCTGGGCTCCGAGACCCTCTCCGACCACTAGGTGCACGGAAAGCAAGACGATGCCGCCTGCACGGCCCCAGTGGGCATGTGCAGCCACCAGACGCCCTGGGATCAACGCGCGGTCGGTGAGCTGGGGCGGGGCTGAGACGAGAACGCGGACAGGCGCGATCACGGCTACGCCGCCGCATGAACCTCCTCTGCCCGTGTCAATCGCCTCTGCCCGCGCACCGCGAAACCCTTTGGCTGCCGCCTTGGACTGCACCTCAGCAAAACGGTCGTCTCTCGCGTGGTGCTCTTGCACAAGGATCAGGTAGTTATCAAACCCATGGGCGCTCAGCATATCTAACAGCGGGCCGCGGGATGATGTGTTAGCTGTAATCGCACCGCGGATCGGACCAGGCTTGCCCGAACCGACTGAAACCTCACTGCGTCCTGACACTGCGCGTGATAGCCCTCGCTGGCTGCATGCAGCCGAGGGACTGGGCGGGGGAGCTGCCACAAACGACTCGAGCACCGCGGCACCCGACCTCGGGGACATGTAGTCTGGCAGGTAGAACTTGGGCGCGCGCCCATCTCCTGCTGACACTGCCCAAGGTGGGGCCGCGTCCCCTGCCCCAGGGTCCGCCCCATCTCCAGCGGCAGCGGCGGCCGCCCGCTGGAGCAGAGGCGCTGATGTTCTGCCTGAGCCGTCACGATGATGTGCTGGAGCCTTCCTGACCTCTCTGCCCGCTCGCTTGAGGCGCCCCAGGCTGATCGTGCCCTCAGCGTCACGGGTGAGTGCGGCCCCGCAGGAAGCCCCAGCCATAGCCGCGCCGCCAGGCTCCGAAGACGCCGAGGACGCAGGACATGGTGCAGCAAGGGCCGCGCCCCCTGCCCCAGGGCCCGCCCTTTCTCCCGCGGCGGTGGCGGCCGCCTGCGGGAGCATGTAGACCGGTAGCACACGCCCACCATGACACCTCGGCATCGCCTCAGCGGGGCAGACGAGATGCAGCAGGAGCGCTGCGCCCACCCACAGCTTACTTCGCGTCGACGCGGGGCCTCTTCGACACCCTGCTGAGCTGCTCGCCAAACCGCATGATGTGCCCTCGTAGCTCCTCCTCGCTGCCAGCGGGCTCGGCGTCGAAGACCACGCGGTAGAAAGCTTGCAGCTCGTCCAGGTCGCCGTCATCAGCGGGGACAGGAAGATGCTCGACAAGGTCGGCAGCTCCTGCACGCGCGCTGCCAGCGCTGCTGGCCGCGGCGCTGGTGGGCGGCTCAGCCGCGGCAGCTCTCTCCTGTGTGCGTCCTCGCTCCGCTGCGGCAGCATCAAGCTCGCGCAACTTCGCGAAGTTAGCCTGGATAGACTCGGCCAGAGACGCGTCCGCACCGACCGCCTCCAGCATCTTGCCCACGTCGGAGACTGACAGGTCCAGGGCGGGGATCGTCGCCTTGAGAGAGAAGACGCCCGCCTCAGGGCGCGGCGCCAGCGCCGCGGCGCTGCGCCTGTCCGCCTCGGCGGCCACGAGCTCCTTGGACGTCTCCAGCAGCGCCTTCTCTGCATCGGCGACGGCCAGCTGGATCTCCTGGATCTGCGCATGCAGCTTGTCCAGGGCGGCCAGCTGGCGCTCCTTCTTCTTCTCGAGCGCCGTGCAGCGATTGGTGAGGAGGTGAAGACGGGCTCCGATCGGCTTACCGGCCAAGATCTTAGCCCTGAGCCGCTCCTGCTCTGCCACCATCGCGGCCTTGTGCGAAGCCAAGAGCTCGTCGGGGGCGTCCCCAATGGCGGCGGTGAGACGCTCGAGCACCGCCTTGTCCGCCTCGGGGCCCGCAGGCTTGTCGGCGCCAGGGCTGTCGACCTGCATCGCTGAGGCCCCGCCGCCCGACTGCCGCGACGCCACGAACTGCTTCTTTGAGCTCCTGGATCTCGCGGTCTTTGGCGGCGGCCTCCTTCTTAAGACGCTCTCCCTCGGCAGCAGCACGGCGCTCGGCCGCGAGCGGCCGTGGTGCCTGCGCAGCGTTCGCACCATTGCCACCTGCTGGGCGCGGGCCGAAGTAAGCTGCGCCCTTGGCGACCTTGCACGACTTGCAGAACGTGCAATCCGCCATGTTCCACCATCTCTCGCCCGTCTTCTCGTTCGTGCACCACCTGCAGAGCCACGCATGCGCATTCTGGATGCGGTGTTGCTGGTGACCCGAGGGCGCCATCGACCAGCCCCTGAGCATTGGGGCAGAGGCAACAGAGCGGGAAAGAGAGTGCTGCGTCGTCTGGCGACTCACGCAGCGGTGCGTTGAAAACACTGATGACTAGCCGCGGACTAGCGGTATCCACTTGTTCCACAGGGGAACTCAAAACCTTGAGCCACAATTGCAACGGAGGGGGAGGAGGAGGAGGAGGAGGAAGAGGAGGAGGAGGAGGAGGAGGAGGAGAGGAGGAGGAGGGGGAGGAGGAGGAGGAGGAGGGAGAGGAGGAGGGAGAGGAGGAGGAGGAGGAGGAGGAGGAGGAGGAGGAGGAGGAGGAGGAGGAGCAGGAGGAGGGAGGAGGAGGAGGAGGAGGAGGAGGAGGAGGAGGAGGAGGAGGAGGAGGAGTAGGAGGAGGAGGAGGAGGAGGAGGAGGAGGAGGAGGAGGAGGAGGAGGAGGAGGAGGACGAGGGGGAGGAGGAGGAGAAGGAGGGGGAGGAGGAGGAGGAGGTGGAGGAGGAGGAGGAGAAGAAGGAGGAGGAGGAGGAGGAGGAGGAGGAGGAGGAGGTGCAGGAGGAGGGGGTCAACCCATTGCGCACATGGGGTCTGCGTTCGATCCCAACAAGCGTGGGGCGCCCACGATGCGCCCACGGGGCGGCCCTGCGCGGCACCGTGGCGGCAGCCCGGCGTGCCCACCCCCCCAAAAAAAGAACGCTGTGCCCACGGGGCGCCCGCGAGGCAGCAGCGTGGCGAAAACCTGGCACTACATTGACAATGAAGGGGCCCTGGGACACACAAATAAATGCACACAAATAACAGGATTCCCCATATTTCCTCACATCTTCTGGGTTTTTGTCTTCCCCCCACTTCCGATATTTTCATATATTTTCTTGGGAGTCGACGAGTCATTGTGTCTGTGTTTTTTTTTCCCCCTCCTGATACAAGAGCCCCTACGCTCAGATCGGGCGTGTCCCCCTACATGCGGATGTTGGGCGGAAAATTAAAGATCCCCCCAACATTTTCAAACATACGCAGACAATTAATAGACTATTGTTTGACTATTCTGGAATCTTCCCCCTGTAGAGGGACAGGCCCGACTCAACCCTACGCCCAAACACCGTTCGGGGAAATCCGGGGCGCAAGATTTAGGAGGGCAATCTGAGTGCTGCAACTAGTTGACCCCACGATCGGACTGTCAGATCCACTGCTGGTGCAAACGCACCACCCTCCCATCCGCCATTCGCATTGAAAAATAATAAATGCGGCCACGACTGCGGCGGTTCATTGGCACTGGCTGGCTTATCTCTGCAGCCGCGCGCAAACTCACGAGCAGACCGGCCAACTGGTTTGCCGCAGCTGATGTGGCCGAGATGGTTCTTACCGATGAGAACTTCCAAACGCGTCTCAAATGCCGCGCTGGCGCGCGAGAGCTTCGGTACGGGGCGGTAATTCGGACAGGCGCGATAACCACAACGGCGGCAATGATGATGATAGTAGGAACGGTGGTGGCGATGATAACTATGACGACGGCAATGCCCGTGACGGCGCAGATGCTGGTGACAACCATGACGAAGTCGATGTCCATGCGTCAATGATAAAGGGGATTGGCTGATGATGGCGGCAACGGCGGCGATTGCGAATGTGAGCCCGCAGGCGCGCAGCTGCGAACATCCGCCCGTGCCTAGACGCCGCGTGGGAAGACAGCACGAGAGCATGGTGCGACGCCACGCTCCACGCCACGGCAGGGCAGAACGGAGCTCGACGCGCAGTCAGCCCCCCTGGCACGTGACACCATGGAGACGCTGAAGCCACTGCTCTCCAGCCTGGCCCGGTGGCTCCGGGGTACGGCGGCCGCGGCGATAGCGGCAGCGCGGGCGCGGCATATCGAGCGGGGTCTGCTGCGTGCGCTCGGGGCTGCCTGGGCGCCCCGCGCATGGCATCTCCGGCGGGGGGTTGAGAAGCTTGCTGACCATGTCCCGCGCCGAGCTGGGCGACCGCTCGGCTCGGTAAAAGGTGGCGGCCGCGCAGCAGACTCGAGTCGCGCAGGTCTGTGCCGCCGGCGCCCGCGACGAAGCGATGTCGGGAGCGGCCAAGAGGGGGGTGTCCAAGAGGGACGGGGCAAATCATGACCGGCGGCACGTGCGCGGCCCAGCGGGGGGGCCAGGGACGTAACGAAATAAGAAGACTCGCCATGAAATCTGGGAACTATCATGGCCCCCGCCATGATATCCCCCCCCCTAGTCATCACCCCCCTCTTAGCCGCCCCCGACGATCGTGGCCGTCGCTCTCTTCAGCGTCCAGGTTTCACAGAGATTCGAGCTCTGCAGCTAGCGGGCGTGGTCGACCAGGGCACTGCCATCAGGTGCAGGCAGGAGCCGGCGGAAGAACGACCCTCTCGGAGTTTGCTGATTTGGATCCCAGACGTCCAGTCCTTCGGGGTTTCGTGTCCTGCGAAGCTGATCTGGGCTCGGCTGGGGCAAAAGGCATTGCGCGGGCAGGTCGATGGCATCCTGTTGCGCGTTCCAAGGGCGGCCGCTGTGAAACCGGTTTCTGCCGACTCTTTCCCGTGCGTGCTGCCCTGCGTTTTCGGCGATGCACAGATCGGGAGCCACTCTCTGCGTAAGGGCGGCGCGCAGTGGTGGACACACGTCGGTTCCACACCTGAAGAGCTTGCACAAGGCCGATGCGGTCTTCTCCTCTTCCCTTTTTTAACGTTAGACTAACCTTAGCATGATGCTGTGGCGTTAGTCATCCTCCTCCTCCTCTTTCTCCTCCTCCTCCTCCTCTTTGCTGGTTTTGCTGCTGCCGCTGCTCCTGGCGCGCCACGTCCTGTCCTCAGCCTCGATGCGCAGCTTGCCTGTGCACTGAGTCTCGCACGGTCGGCAGCACTTTCGCAGCCACCTGCGGCGGGATGCCGAGCGCTGACCTTGGCGGAAGCTTGGGGAGGTGGTGGGGAAACCACAAGGTACGGATACCACCCTGCGTGGGTTCTGACACGAACTTGAAGACGAATCTGGCGGCCGGTGGCGGCGAGGGCCTCCCAGGAGGCCCCCCAAACGGGGAAAACGAGGCAGCGGTAGCGGTATCGATACCTTCTCCTCCTGTGTAGTGGAGGAAGAGTTTTTTTTGTTTTTTCACGACGCGATCATGTCTGCGTCCTCTTCTTCGGCGTCCGACGGCGCGCGGCGACGCGGTGTAGCCATAGGGGTCGGCCGGCGGCCAGCAGCACTAGACCGAGGCGGCAGCACGGGGAAGTCATGTACACGCACGCGCAAAGATGAGGAGGAGGAGGAGGAGGAGGAGGAGGAGGAGGAGGAGGAGGAGGAGGAGGAGGAGGAGGAGGAGGACGAAGAGGAGGACGAGGAGGAGGAGGAGGAGGAGGAGGAGGAGGAGGAGGATGAGGAGTGTAGTGGAGGTAAGAGGAGGTACGACACGACCATCACGACGTAATCTTGCTGCTGCTACTGCTGCTCCTCCTCCTCCTTGTCCGCCTCCCCTGCCCTCCCGCGGTGTGTGGCGACCGGCGGCCCGTCGGGGTCGCTCCAGCTGGACACCCAGTGCCTCGACACGGTCCTGCCCAGTGCAGCTGCGGGGGGCGCTCTTGCAAGCAGCCTCTTCCTGCGAGGCGAGGCCAGGACGAAGAGAAACTCGGATGAGGATACCTCGAGAAGCTCTGAGATCCGGCGGCCCTGGAGGATGTCTCGAGAGTCGCGGCCTTCTCGGAGCGTTCTGGAGCTCTCTGAGAGCGCTCGGGAACGCTGTGGAACGGATTTGTCCATGTCCCAGCCCCACCCGATCCTGCCCTCCTAGGAGTGTGGGGGATCAGAGGGACCTGGGGAGCCCTCGAGAACTGCACAGTGGTCAAGCTGGTCCTCCTCCTGCTGCTCTGTTCCCTCCTCCTGCCCCATAGCAGGTTTAGGACAAGAGCGCTTCAGACCAGCGTCGAGCCATGCCCGCTCATGACATCCTCGGGCGTCCTGGGCTGCCATGCCAGACGGAACTATGATTCGGGAGGCTCGCGCGGCACGACTCCGCATTCGCGGGTCCAGGGACCCAGGAAGAGCCTGGGCGCGCGGGGTCGGCGGATGCCCCGGGTCCGCCGAGACAAGGAGGCCGACGGCCTCCCCGAGGAAGAGACTGTACCCAGAGGAGCTCTTAGGCCGGGCATGTCCCTTACAGGCGGATTCTGCACGAACAATAAAACATGCCCCAAAGATGCTCAACAATAGTCCAAGCATGATCGAAAACTCGTCCCCCGACCATTCTTTACTATTTTTGGGTATTCCTCTTGTAGAGGGACAGGCCCGAGTGAAGCCTAGGCTCGCACGACGTGGCTGGCACAGGCAGGGCGCCCGGTGCTCGCAGTGTCTAGAAGCGCGGCGCTGGGCGCAGCAAGCGTGATCACACTCAGCCGGAGACGGGGGAGGAGAACAGGAGGAGGAGGAGGAGGAGGAGGAGGAGGAGGAGGAGGAGGAGGAGGAGAAGGTTGAGGAGGAGGAGGTGCAGGAGGAGGAGGAGGAGGTGCAGGAGGAGGAGGAGGAGGAGGAGGAGGAGGAGGAGGAAGAGGTGGAGGTGGAGGAGGAGGAAGAGGTGGAGGTGGAGGAGGAGGAGTAGGAGGAGGAGGAGGAGGAAGAGGAGGAGGAGGTGGAAGAGGTGGGGTTGGAGGAGGAAGGGGGTAAAAGAGCGGTGCGGCGCACCGCTGGGGACATCGGCAGTCTCTGGGCGCGTGCTGGCCCTCCTGGGCCTCCGGGGGCCGTGCCCGGGAACGCGCACCGGCCAGCTCAGAGTGAAGGGAGGCGGGGCGCAGAGACGCTGTCTGGTGGGCGGCTGCAGCGGAAGGCAGAGGTCGCCCAACTTCGCGCATGCCCTCCCGCGATGCGCGATGATCTTCGCGCCCTCGAGCCCTCGAGGGCGGCGAAGATAATCTTCGCGCCCTCTTCGCCCCCCCCTTGAAGAACAGGCCGGCCGCCGCAGCCCAGGCCAGGGCGCGCCAGACAGGATCTTTCTCGCGCACCCGCGGGCGACCCAGCCAGATCTCGGCTGTAAGGGCGGCACGCTGCCTGATGGGTTGCACCGGTGACGTGGTCGCCCTGCTCTCTCGGTGTCCATTGGGCCCGTCGGGCGGGGGCGTACTCACCAAAAGTAGCAAACATAAGCATGTGTACCACGCCCACCAAACGTGTACGTGCAGTTTTGGGGGCGTGGCTGGCGGGAATGCTGGCGTTGGCCTTTCAGGGGCCGCAACACCTACCCTAGACGCGTCCTTCAGAAGGGGGTCGATTAAGGGACGCATGCCCATACCAATGTCTGGCCGAATCTGGAGACCCTGGGTCCAAAAATGTCGACGTCACACGCTTCCTTCCGCCGACCCTCCGCCGACCTTCCGCCGAAGGTGAGACAAGCCGAAGGCGAGGCCCTTGTCTGGAACGCGCCACGTGGCGTTGCTCAAGCTGCTCGTGGAGATGCAGCACGGACTGCAAAGCATACTGACGAGGAGAAGGAGGGTCACACTGCGGATGAGCTTGCGGAGCTGGTGGCGGCCCTTGCGCTTCTGGAGTGTGTCTGGTGAAGGTCCAAGGCAACCCTTGCTCTGCCCTGGGTCCCCACTGACTGAAAGTACCGTGCGAAGAATCGAAAAATCCGACCCATCCTCCTCCCCTCCGCCTTCTCCTCCTCCTCCTCCTCCTCCTCCTCCTCCTCCTCCCCTGCTCATCCTCCTCTTCCTCCTCCTCCTCCTCATCATCCTCATCATCACCGCCATCGCCATCACCATCACCATCACTGACATCATCATCATCATCATCATCACCACCACAATCACCACCATCATCATCACCATCACCACCAGCATCATCATCACCACCACCACCATCATCAGCAGCATCATCATCATTACCATCGCCATCATCAGCATCAGCATCATCATCACCAGCGTCATCGTCATCGTCATCATCACCACCACCATCATCAACATTATCATCAGTATCATCATCATCATCATCATCACCATCATTATCGTTATCATCATCACCACCATCACCATCACCGTCACCATCACCATCACCATCATATCATCATCATAATCAGAATCAGCATCAACACCATCATCATAATCGTCGTCATCATCGTCGTCATCATCATCATCCATGCCCACCATGCTGCTGCTACTCATCCTCCTCCATCCCTCCCTGCCTCTACCTTGCTCCTCCTCCTCCGTTGTCCTCCTTTTTTCTGCTCCTTCCCCTACTCCTCCTGCTCTTCCTCTGTCTCGTCGCCGTCCGTCTCCTCTTCTTTCTCCTTCTCCTCCTTACCCGCCCCCCTATCCAGAGTCGCAGTCTGGAGATGCGCAAAACACGCTGGCCACGAATCGTGGGAGATGGGAAAACGCGCGCTTGAGATGGTTCGCAGCATCAGGGTGAGCAGGCGTAGAAGGGGAGCAGGGGATGATGATGATGCTGCTATTGCTGCTGATTGTGATGAAGGTGTTCAGGCCAATGAATGGAAGGATTGATGTTGAGGAGGGTGTGGAGCATGATGCGGAAGGTGGGGATGAGGAGAAGGTGACGCGGAGAACGTTCGAGAGGTTCCTGAGGCTCCCGAGGCACCTGCCCCAAAGGGGCGCAGATGTCGAAATATCCCGCGTCACGTGCCGAGGACGCGATGGGGAGGAGCAGGGGAGGCGTGAGAGAAGAAGAAGGCGGCGGAGGCTGACGCGAGGGTGCACCTCTAGGACCGTCTTCATACCACCAAGTCCGCATGAGGTGTGTTTCTGTGTGTGTGTGTGTTGTGGAAGGACAGCAACAACAGGAAGACGATGCCGATGGTAACGATGACGACAAGCAAGAGGACCATGCCGACGATGATCACACCTAGAACTAAGAGGCACAACTGGGGTGATCGCGCCTGCCTGCCCGTCATCATCCGTCACTGTGCTCTTGGGCACGGAGTGGGCGTGTCCTCAGGTCCATTGCCCAATGCCCTAAGCCTCTAAGAACCCCGGAGCCCAAATTGCCAAATCTTCCTGGGCTTGGCGCGGTTCCCCTGGGGCTTGCTGCGGCTTCTCGTTTGATTTGTTCGGGCCCAGGACGGCCCGAGAACGGGCCAAGAAAGCTCCAATAGGCCCTCAAGATGGCCCAAAGGCGCTCCAAGGCGCCCAATGATCACTCCAAGACGCCTAAGATGGCCCCAAGACAGCCCAGGAGGCCTCCAAGACGCCCCAAATACTCGCCTCCTCCCCGTCGCCCTCCCACCTAGCCCTGTCCCTCTCCCTCCCCTTCCGAGCTAAACATCTTCCCTCCGAGGTATCCGGAGCCACCCGCCACGGAGACATCCAGCGCCCCAAAGAGGAAAGACACCGTCTAAGAGCCTAGATGTTCCTCCCTGGTCAGTTGGTCGGTCGATACCTCCTGGATTACGCAGCCTATCACAAGAGGATCAGATGGAGAATAGAGCAGCACGCAGAGGCAGCGGCTGTGGCAACAAGAACTCCGGGCAGCACCAACACCCTGCGCAAGAAGGGTGCCACCCTACACCGCACCAGGTCCCGAGTCCTAACAACCAGAAGGTCCGCCTGATCCCGGAGGTTTGCCATTGTGAAGGGGCCCTGGGACAAACAAATACTTACAGTAACAGGATTCCCCATAGTTTCCCATATGTTCTGGGTTTTTGTCCTCCCCCCCACTTCCCATATTTTCTTACATTTCCTGGGGAATCGAAGATTAATTGTGTCTGTGTGTGTATGTGTTTTTCCCTCCTGACACTGAGCCTGCAGAGCGGGAGTACGGTGGGCCCCCGAGAGGGGAAAGCCCACACGCAAACGACTCATGCCGTGGCGACGCTGGCGCCTCTTGGGGTCCCTCTGGGGCGTCTTGGGGGCCTCCTGGGGGCTTCTTGGAGCGGGGAAATCGACACTGCTGGTTCGTGTTCGCCCTCTGAGAGGCCTGCTTGGGGCTCTTTGTGGCCGTATTGGGGGCCTCCTGGGCCCTCTTGGGGCGACCTTGGGGGCCTCTCGGGCCATCTTGGAGTGTCAGAAGCTCGAAAAGGCGGGAACGCTACAATTTTTTCAAACCCAAGGCTGGTCAATGATCTTTGACTCTGAGTGCCCTCTCGGGGACCCTCTTGGAGCCCTCTTGGAACGTCTCGGCTGCCGCTCGGATCATCTTGGCCCATCTTGGGGCAATCTTGGGCCGTCTGGGGCCCAGTTTGCAGACAAGTGGGCCCATCTGGAACCGTTTTGGGCCAGATGGGGCCGCCAATGAGCCTCCAAGAGAATTGGGGTGTCCATGTGTTTCGCGATCTGCGCCGCCCCCCTCAAGAATTTTCTGCAAGGCTCCAGGTTCGCTGGTTCAGGCTATATCAAGCCTTCCAAGCTGCCTATCCTGTCCCAAACCTTCCTATCTTTGATTAGATGTGTAATCTTGCCTGAAACCCAACACGGCCAGGACCTGCTATGGGGCCGCTTCTCCCCTTCCTCCCCCTTTCTGCTGCTCCCTTTCCTCCTCCTCCTCCTCCTCCTCCTCCTCCTCCTCCATCTCCTCCCTCTCCTCCTCCTCCTCCTCCTCCTCCTCCTCTTCCTCCTCCTCCTCCTCCTCCTCCTCCTCCTCCTCCTCCTCCTCCTCCTCCCCTTCCTCTTCCTCCTCCTCTTCCTCCTCCTCTCACCCCATAGTTGGCTGATAGAGGCTGCAAGTTGTCTTCGCCCCCCGGCGCCCGCGCTCCGACCCTCCAGGCGTCGAACAGGGGCACGGCGGCGGCACCGTCGCAAGAGTCGTGCTCGCCTGCCCTTTCCATCAATTCCTCACCCACCTTTCTTACCCTCCTCCTCCTCCTCCTCCTCCTCCTCCTCCTCCTCCCCCTCCTCGTCCTCCCACTTTTCCTCCGCATTGTCCTCCCTCCCTCCCTTCCTCCCTCCCTCCTCGCTCTCTTGCTCCATCCCTGCTCCTTAGAAACCACCGCTCCCTGTCGCATCCCCAGACGTGTCAGTAAAGCGGGCTGGGCGTTTCGCCTGTCGTCGTCCTCGTCGTCGTCGTCGTCGTCCTCCTCCTCCGGCTCCTCGTCGCCCTCCTCCTCCTTCTCCTCCAGCTGTGTTCACCTGTAAGCAACTCCTCCCTGTCGCACCCCGAAGCGTGGCGGCACGGCGGGCTGGGCGTTTCGCCTACGGCCCCCGTCACCAGTCAGAATCCTTAAGCGGAGAACGTGCAAGAGCTTCACGAATGGAGGGCGGGTCGCTTTCAAAATGTGGCTCTCGCCTCAGCGCCGCGCCAGTTCGTTTTCACCATCTGCAAGAGTTTCACGGATGGACGGCTCTTGCCTTTGCGCCGCGCGCGTTCGCCTTAAACATGTGCAAGAGCTTCACGTGTGGAGGGCGGTCCGCTGTCAAATTGTTGCTCTACAGACAACGGTTCCTTTTCAAAATGTGGCTCTCGCCCAAAACGCCGCGCGCCTTCGCTTGAAGAGTTACCATAGGCAAATCTTCGTGGCAAAGATTCACGATGCCGGACTGTCAAGGCGCACCAGTTGATTCGCGGTGTGGAAGTCCCAGGGATGGTGCTGTGGCACGATGCGGGATCGTCAGGGCGCAAATCAATCTGGGGCGCTGAAGTCCCAGGGATGGTGTGCTGGCACAGCTCAAGGCTTTTTACACGGTTGTCTTCGGCACTTCCCTCGGTAAAGACGAACCCGGGCATATGAGAAGGGACTTTGGAGGGCGGGTTATTTTTCTAACATCGTTGATGGATCTTGGGTTTGCACTGGTCGTCGTCGTCGTCCTCCTCCTCCTCCTACGCCTCGTCCACCTGTTGTTTCTCCTCCTCCTCCTCCACCCCGAAGCCAGTGGGCAAGGCGGGCCAAGCGTTTCGCCTTACTTTGTCTTACCATGTATGGGACTCAAACTTAAACACTGGCAGCAGATTCGCATATTAAGGGCGGGTCCCTTCTCACATGTGATTCTCGCCTGAACGCTGTGCACACTCCCCTTACACATGTGCAATACTTTCGCGGATTGAAGGCGGGTCGGTTTCAACATGTGGTTATCGCCTTAGCGCCGCGCGCATTATTTGTTTAACAATCGCAAGAGCTTCACGGATTGAGGGCGGTTCGTTTTCAAACTGTGACTCTCGCCTTAGCGCCGCGCGCAATTCCCAACAACTTGCAAGATATTCGTGGATTGAAGGTGGCTCGCTTTCAAGAGGTGTTCTCGCCTTTGCGCCGCGCGCATTCTTTTCAACCTCTGCCAGAGCTTCGCGGATTGAGGGCGGCTCGTTTTCAAAATGTGGACCTCGCCTCAGCGCCGCGCGCATTTGTTTTAATCAGTTGTAAGAATTTCACGGATGGAGGGCGCCCCGCTTTCAAAACGTGGCTCGCGCTGCGGCGCAGCGTGCAATCGCTTGTTGATATGGCGATTCAGGATTGCCTGGCGCAACATTTGCGTTGATTCGCGGTGTCGAAGTCCCAGGAACGGCGTTCTGGCACGATTCAGGATCGTCAGAACGCAATAGTCATGTTGAGCCGTGGCCCTGACGCCATGCGAACGGTGTTTTGGCGCGTTTTAAGATATTCCAGCGGATGCCTCCCGACGGGGCAATTCCTTCCGTGGAAATGAACCCTAGCCTTGTAGGGGCATGCGACGAGGGGGCTTGGAGGGAGAGTAAATTCCAACATCGTCGATGAGTCTTGGGCTTACGCTAGTCCTCCTCCTCCTCCTCCTTCTCTTCCTCCTCCCACTCACAAATCTCATTCTGGCACCCGCCGTGCGCGAGTCAATCCCGGGGCTTTGCCTGGAGACAGGGGCTGGAGAAAGGGGCGCCACGGTGGGAATGCAGCTGGCGCTGAGGCCGAGGGCGGGGAGGGACAGACGACCTACGGAGCCGCTTCGGAACACCTTCGCCCCCTCGGAAGGTGCTCCTTCGGGCCCGCGGCGGAATGCCGGGGGGCAGACAGGGCGGGGTCAGGGCGGCCCCGAAGAAGCGCCGGGCGCAGGGTGCTCGCTCACTTGGTGCTTTTCGCCAACGGCGCGGGCGCGTGCAAGCGGCAAAGCTGTCAGATCAGCCAGACTGCGCGAGCGCGTCGTGACACGTGTGGGTGTGGTCGCGCACGTAGATGCACAACGCGGGATTCTCATGCCACGTTTGGTGGTGTAGACGCGCTCTGTGATGATGGTGGCGGGCTTCCCACGCCCAGAACAACTCCAGCATTTGTAGACGCACTCTGTGATGAGTGAGGGCATCCTATGGCTTGAACAGCTGCCGACGGTGTAGACGCACTCGGTGGCGCCAGAGGAGCAGATGTGGCCGCGCGCAGTGGCTGATGCAATGGGCTTCCCACGCCCTGGACAACAGGGGACGCTGTAGGTGCACTCTGTAATGCTGCGCGTGGGCTTCCCATGCCTCGAGGAAACGCATTCTGCGGAATTCACGTGGACCACTGCGCGCAACCAAGCTGCGTCCAGTGGAAGTCTCAACGCATGATCGCGCCCACTATATTCACAAGCTGCGTGTGCAAGATCCGCTCCACGTGCGCCGTCGCCCCATAGCCTGGTCTGTAGCTCGCGCCCGTCTGGATGGGCGCGCCGTGGATCACAGTGAAGTCGATGTCGTTCTGCGCGTTGAAGCTCAGCTGCAGCTTGCGCCGCGGCTGGTCGCGCGCGTCGCTCGCCTTCGCCAGCGGGGCGGGCCTCGTGATCTGCTTCATTTCCACGTGCTGGATCTCGTCCATCATCGTCTCGAGGCTCTGCTGGTCGAGCCCGCCGACGGCGGCGACTTCCTGACTGAGGCTTTCGATGGGGCCTGCGAACGCCTCGGCGCTGATCGCCCCGATCTTGGCCATGTCCGCGTTGATCTGCTGCTGTGGCGCATTGCTGCGGATCGAGTTTTTTATATAAAAAAATGTGTTTCCTCCTGCCCGCGCTCGCGCTCGCGCCCTGGTCGCCGCGACGCTTCCCGCGCCTGGCGAGGCGAAGTCGTCCTGATCAGCATTGTGTCGGTCTGGCGCTGCCGCGTCGCCGCGCTGGGCGGCGGCTTCGTCGCCGCGGGGAACTTGCGCTGGATGTTCCTCAAATCCGTGTCCCCGAACAGTACTGGGTCCAGGTCGACCGGCCTGGACTTCGCGCCGCTCTGCCGGTCGCCGCGCGGCTGGTCGCCTCAGCGGCGAGCCGTCGATGCGGGGGGCGCGCGGCCCGCCGCGCTCGCCGCAGCGCCGGCGCCCCGCGGGGGGCCCGTCCAAGACGCGCGGCCGAGGTGCCGGGGGCGCGCGTTTCAGCGATGCGGGTCTGGAGCTCGGGCGCGGATGAGAAAAAATGAGCTCGCAATTTTCGCCCGGGCAAGACGGCCGCGGCAAGTCGCCCGCGTCGAAGATGTAGACCGACAGAATTTTTGTTTTAGACAGCGTCCAGCACGACGGGCAGCAGCAAGGCGCATGATCGCAACATGTCGGCTCGCGACTGTCGATCGGCAGCTCGGCCGTGGGTTTGTCGTCGCATTTCGTGAGGGTTCGCGCGCTCGCCCGCGTTCTCCAGCCCGAAGCGCTTGTTTCGTTTCAACTTCGACCAGGCGCGACGCGCCATCTTCGCGCGCAGAGGCCGCGCGCGTGGGGGCTGCGCCTGGCGCCCTGCGCGGCGGGGCGGGGCCGGCCTAGCCGCCGCCCGCGCAAGCGGGCAATCGCGCGCTTGATAGACGCGCTGCGCCCAGGCGCCAGGAGGAAAATGTCGAACATACCTTCGCCAATGACGTCAAGGCGGGCCATCCCGTCGGGGAAAACGCTCAGGAACTCCATGCCCTCAAGAAATTGCGCTCGCCACGGGTCCGCAATGCGCGTCGGTGCTCCTCGATCAGGGCACGCAGGGGTCCGCGGGAGGTCGAGCGGGGCCGTGGACTCGCAGAGCAGATTGGCAGAGACACTGGCGAGCAGCTGGGCATGATGAGAGGGTTCGAGAGCAACGCGTTCCTGGCGCCTGATGCGTAGGATTTGCATCTAAGACGATAGCGGCAGCATTTGCAGCCGTATCCATAGTTCATGTAACGAAATCGCCCTAACCACTTTGGCTTTGCGTCTGTCGTCGGCGTCGGTCGTCGGCTCTGCGCGACGTAGTCAGCGCCCCGGGGCGCGCGCGCGCGTTTCGCCGCGCGCGCCGATTCGGCCCAGCCGCACAGTAATAAATGGTCGGGGCCACTCGAGCGCGGCCGCGCGGCCGCGCGGCAGCGGCCATCATCGAGCGCGACTCGGGGCGCGCCGCCGGCGTCATTCAGCGGCGGGCCCGGGCGCGGCGGCATCTCGCGCTCGCGCTGAGGGCCCGCCACATCTACAACCAAATCTCTTCTTTCATCGAATGGCGCAAGGTGGGGCGCGGTCCAGTCCTGGAATGAGTGGGCGGACAATCTCGCAAATTGCGGCGCGAGTGGCACGTGCTGCGGGCTGCTGGATACAACCCGGTGGGCCCGAGACTCTTCGAGCTTATCTTCCTCGGCCAGAGCAGGCAGTCCCAAATCTGTCCCATTGTATTCGATGTGATAATTTGGTGTCTGGTTCTTCGGGTGGTGTCCGGCGTGCGCAGTGCTGTCTGCCATGGGCTCTCGTTGCTATTGGTGGCTCAAACGATTGTTTCGCCATTATCGTTACCATCTCCTCCTTCTCCATCTTCGCCGTCAAGTGATTCGGATGGAGCAGCCGGCTCGCCCCGGCTAATTGGTGCACTGCAAGCAGATGCTCACCGCGTTATCTTTACACGTTGGAGCATGGTGGGGAGAGCATGCTGGTCATTTGACGCGTAGTGTCAGAGGTGCTG